TGAAAGAATATTATATTCTGAGACACTTTTGAGATTTGGTGATGAGCTAAACATTGATCAAACATGTATTACAGGCCACTATTATATTCATGTATTTTTAATTCGTGATTTTTTTATCTTATCTTATTTTTTTATAGAATAAAGGAATTAATTCTTTTATATAATAAAATTAACAATCTCGTAATATATATTAATATATCTAAGTTTCGTTTGTTTCTAAAAATTCTAGCATATTCTTCTATATATAAAAGTTTTATATAAATCTTTCAACATTATGTATGTTTTAATTAAATGCAATGCGGGATATTAAATGCAATTTAAAAGATACGTATAATTTACTCTTTTTACATCAGTGATGATGTAAATATCAATAATTAAATAAATAATTCTTATTAAAGTTTTTTGCAATTTACTTTTTAAATTATTTTAAGTGGGATCAATATATTTTGCATGGAAAGTTCAAATTTATTCAGTCCAGTGTGTGCTTTATCATAAAAAGTCGGCAGTCCTCGGCTGCACACTTAACGTCAGCGCTGAAGGGGTTAACAGGGAGAAGGTGTGCATATGGACGAGCGTTCATTTTATCTCGAGGAGGAAAATTACAGAGTATTTAAATAAGCGATTTGTATAATTACACAAGATGTAACACGTATACAAAAAGATTATTCAACATACGTGTTATGTACTCTTTGTAGCGAAAGGGTTAATTTTATTAAAAATAAATCTTCGAATAAGTAGGGATAACAGGATAACAATTAAACAAATATTCCTTAATTTAAAATTTATCAATCAAAAAGATTTATTTTTCACGTTATCCATCAAATTTGTCAGTTAATGTTTGCTCCAACGATAATATTTTTTAAATTTTCCCAGAAAACCCATTTAAAGATAAAAAGAAAATTGTACATACACATATAGCACACAAGTACTTCAATAAATTGCACGTCGCTTGGTTTTCAGTCAAGAATACTCGTTTGTTTGGATTGATATTTTTCATGTCATATTAACGGCTTATCCACCGATATTTCCTGGATTATTGTTTTTCTTGAAAACAATCCAACAACGTGCAAAGAATATACCATGGCGTTACTTGTTTCGCGATTGTGGTTTCACGTTTGATGGAAATCGAAATATCGAAGCATGTTTAATTTAAATTTTAAACTTCAATCGTGAAATGGTTGCCACTGGTGAAGAAAAAAAACATCGAATATATGTGAAAATATACACATTATGGAACAATAAATAATTGTATCGTTAAGGATAAATGCATTCCCTTGCATTTCCAAATTTTCGATAGCAATCATTCTAAGATATAACTTCAAAAATTTTATCAATACGTATACAGAATTTTTCAGTGACAATTATTACTAAATGATTGTTTTCTTTTCATTATATTTAAATTTATGTTCATAAATTTGGAACTTGAAGTGCCATGACAATTTACGCGATTAATAATTTTATCTTACAAGGCCTTTTTCTCCTTTTCTCTCTTCATATTTGAAATGATATTCTCGATATATGAAATATTTAATCTTTCCGAAATATTGCGCTAATTTTACGTTAATTATTGTACCTTCTCGCCAATATTTACTCTTACAATACAAACAAAATTGTGTCGTTTAATCTCGTCCACATCTAACCACTTATTTTATTTCAGGATCGAGTTCGTTGACAAGAGCAAGTCATAGCGAAGCAATTACAAAGGCATTCGGACATCGTTTACACTTTACGAGGCACTAAAGGGGTGGAGAAATGCCGTGGGCGAGAATGGTCTTCAGGATATTAGCACGTTATTGCCAGAGTTTATTGGTTTTATCGATTTCCCCGCTGTCCTATTCCCCGTTGTCCGGTGTAAAAAAGAATTAACATCCGAGTGAGTGATTTGCTAAACGTGACATCGTAACAATTGGACAACGAACGGACAGGGAAAATTTTCCATTCAAGCGCGTTTCGTTCACCAATTTGCCAAAATTCGCCAAAATAACTGCTATTATACGACGAATAATAATAATTTTCTATTGTTAATTCAGCTTACAAATATACCTTAATATTTGTCGAATAAGATATTAGAAATATTTTATTCAATTTTTTTAGAAGTTAAAACAAGTATAAAAATCGGTTAAAATTTATTTATAGAGATAATAGCGTGAATTTTAAAAAATTTTTTTATCATATTATTATAGATGCTAGCAATATAAATAATTTCAAATTATAATTCGATGATAATCCAATCTGTGTTAACAATCTGTGTTCTTGCTCGAGATTTATAAATAGACGAGAAGGATGCTCTTGCCTTGGGATCTTTATACAGATCATCAGTCAAGCGAAGAATTTTCCTCGAACTTGATATCACGAGTCATGAACTGACATTATTTCTATAAAATAAAAACTGCTAAATGCATATATAAGATGTGTATTCGTGAAATATCATTAAAGAATCGATATATTGACGTGCTCCATTGAAAAACTGTGACACTCCAATTGAACAAGGAAAGGATTTTTTTCCGTATTGGATTACTTATCATCACTTGCAAATAGAATGATCATGATGATCATCTTATATCATCGAATACAACAATTAGATAGTTTATAAATATCGAAATATTGGATTTTATCTGCTATGACATAATGAAAAATCCTGCTCTCTAATAGATAAATGCGAGCAACTTATATACAATATAACTTACATACAACAAAGAAGTACACTTGTTATAACTAGTCGAAAGGTATTCGACAGTTATTTAATTATATCCATTATATCAGACTATTATTTCGACCGCGAACAATCTACAATTCTAATTATAACATAATGTAATAACGTATTATCCTTAACACTTAAAAAATTTACATAATATTGTACAAATATAATATATCGATTTAATATTACAAGAATATAATGTGGCATTCTTATGTAATTAAATGATTATATATATTCTATAATACTATAATATATTCTATATACTGTATAGTATTAGTATATAATTACTCATAATTTTCTATAGTTTCATTTAAAAGAGAAATAACGAACATATAAAGTCAGTTTAGCTTGAAACATGATACGCAACATCGCAAGGCTATCCTTTTTTTTATACGTTTTAATTATCGCGAATAAATCGGACTGTTACAAAATTTTGTCCGTTGTCCCAACGCCGTCTTATAGCCATCAGATTCCGTATAGACGATTATGGCTCGAATTACACGCACGTGGCCACGAGATTGTAGTGATCACTACGAATCCTATACCGGATATCAGTTTACCGAATTTCACTCAGATCGATATCAGTCATTCGTACAGTTGTTTAAAGGAACTCGATTTCATCGAGAATCGTTTCGAACACGTTAGCTGGTTGAGGATCTTAGAGAATTACATTATATCTTTGTACACGTGTTTCTTAACCGAGGTGTTCAATTCATCTGAAGTGAAAAAATTGTATGTCCCGGATAATCCTGTAAAATTCGATGTTTTGTTGGCGGAATTTTTCTACGGACCAGCCATGTGCGCTTTTGCCCACAGATTTAATGTTCCATTAATAGGTATGTATTTATTTTTTATAATTTTAATTGTATTCATCAAATGATTATCGCGATTGAAAAGTTAGAAACAGTTCTAATGATTTTAATCAAGATTTTTAATAAATTTTATTCGAGATGGATCAACTTTTTTTAGAAAAAAATTCTTGAAAATGAAAATCTCAGGTTGAGGAAAATTTTTATTCCATCATTAATGACAAATAGATATTGAATACTATGAATAATAGTATAATATCAAATAATATCTTTTATTATTGTCTGTGATGTTTTATTTTATATAAATGTATTAATGATTATTATTGTTAAATAAAAATATTTAATAGTTAGTTTTATTTATCTCTTGAAATTTTCAAACGTTCTAAAATAACTTGTTTACGTGAAATTTATTAATAAAGAAATCAAACGGACGATAACTTTTATATTTTGTATGAAAATATTGTTATATTCGGCGCAAATTAATTAACATTGCAATCGAAATCATTCTTTGTGAAAATTCTCGTATTTTCTGAGTCTAATTATTTCTTCGCTTCTACGTATCACATGTTTGTTATTGTGCAATTCATTGATTTTAATTACGCAATCAGATACACACTTTCAAAAAAAAAGAATTAAAAAAGTTGATAAGACATCACGATGACAATGCTTTTTTCCATGAAAATATTTCACAAAGAAATTTTTATTTTTTTTTTTGATGATGAATGAAAACTATTATTTCTATTTTCAATTAATCGTTTTATATGATTGTAGGATTAAGTTCATTGGGAATGATTGCCTTGAATGAATTTATTCTTGGAGGGCTCGTTCTACCTTCTCATGAATACACATGGGAAATGGAAGCGAACACGGGCACAAATTTGCCATTTTTCAAGAGATTGAATAATTTCGTGACTATGTGGAATTTCCTGTACCATATTAATTTCGATGTATTTTTCTTCCAACAAAAACTGGCAGAGAAATATCTTGGACCACTACCACCATTGATGGATATTATGAAAAACACTAGTTTAATTTTTACCAATCAGATAGACATTTTATCACCTGCACGGCCGAAACTTCCGAATATAATCTCATTCAATTCTTTCCACGTGTCTAACAATCCGTCACCTTTATCGAAGGTACAACATACATCTTATTTTTTATATAAATATCATTTCATTATTTATAGAGAAATAAATATTGCGAAGCAAAATGAAATATATAATGGAAGAAACATGAATATGAAAGAGATGATAAATTTTTAATTATGTAAAATATATTCTGTGGATAAAAATCTTTTGTATTGATTTTTAATTAATCCATAAATTTATTCAAATAGAATATCGTCGATTATACGATAAGAAAATATAAATTTAATTGAATTATCTTTGTTGCAGGATTTGGAAGAATTTCTAGACGATGCGAAAGAAGGGTTTATTTATTTCAGTCTCGGTACAAACGCAAGAAGTTCATGTTTGCCAAAAGAAATTATACGCATGTTTTGCGATATTTTCGCAAAATTGCCATATAAAATCGTGTGGAAATACGAGCAAGATTTACCCGAGAAATCCGGGAATATTTACATTAAAGATTGGTTTCCTCAACAGAGTATTCTTGGTATTTAATTTTTAATAAAATATTCTTAATAAAATATCGTAATTATTGGGAATAGATAATTTTTTCTCTACGATTGCTGATAAGTTTTAATTTTTGAGACACGCAAAAATGTTCTTGATCGTATGTATCAATTATACAGTAATTATTTAAAAAATCAATAATACTTTCTACATATTATACTTTAGTATATTATACAATTTTTTAAACCTATCTTTAATAGATTAAAATATTGGATTTAGTAATTAAATTGCGTTATTAGATTATATTTAATTGTGGAATAGATATTGAATTTTTATCTGAACACTAAAATTCAGAAAAGGATAAAAGAATTCTCTCTCTAAGATTTCAAGATTATTGAAATCAAGAGAGTTTCTAGTTTACTTATGATAGTCATCAAAATATTTACGTATTTAACGATGCATATATATTTTTTGACAGCTCATCCAAAGATTAAATTGTTCATTTATCAAGGAGGTCAACAAAGTACCGAAGAAGCGATTAATTTCGGAGTGCCAATTATCGCTTTCCCAATATTAGGAGATCAAGATTATTTAGTAAGAAGAATTGAAGCTCTTGGAATGGGAAAATATTTGGATATTAGGACAATTGTTCCAGATCAATTCGAAAATACTATTAAAGAAGTTATAACCAATAAAGAGTAAGTCTCGTAGGAATATTTACATTTATATTAATTAATTATATGATTAATTAAATACTATCTAATTTAATAATAATATCGAATTAAATTTTTAATTAAATTTTTCAATATTTGTTAATGTACATTCCAGAAATTTAATATTTTATTACATCTTTGATAAAAATTTTAATACATTCGTAATTATTACTATGATTTTTATATAAACGATGTTTCAACTCAATTCTTTTCAGATATAAAGAAAGAGTGCTCGATATTCGAACTCAAATTAGAGAGACATCTCAGGATGTGAAAAAAATTGCTTGGTGGACGGAATATGTGATACGAACAAAAGGTGCTTTACATCTTCGTTCTACACTAGCCTGGGAACCTTGGTATCAACGTTATGACACGGATATTATAATATTTTTGACAATTGTGATATTCGTGAACTTTTTAATTGTTATCAGTATTATTGTCAATATTCTAATGTATTTTTATAAAAAGATGGACACTTCTACTCATCGAAAAAGCAAGATACATTAAAATCAATATGATTTTTTGAAATTGCTATTTGTCAAGAGGAAAAAGATTTCTGTGCATACACTTTGCAATGATAAACTGATAACTGCAATGATAAACTGATATTTTTGATATTGTATGTACATCTTTTCCAGATATTAAATGTAAATATTATATACATATCATATTTATATTTCAGTTATGTAAAAGAAGATAGTCTCAGCAAGATTCACTTTTTTTTAATAAAAGAAAAATGAAGTGTTAAGAAAAATGATTGAAAAAAATTATAATTTTATAATTTAAATAATTCAACAGAAGACCAACGATGAAATTATGAAATATACGTTATGGTTTTCTTCAAATTTCTATATACATTTTTTTATACAAATCTCAATCGAATTTGCATACCAATTTTTCTATTTATTTCGACTTCTAAAATAAATTAAAGAGAATATATTTCTACTAACATCCTATAATTCTTATGGAAAAAAAAGAAGAAAGAAAAAAAGAAAGAAAGAAAAAAAGGAATTTTCGAGCAACTTTATGAAAGAAAAAAAATCCATCGCAATTAATAAATAATAATTTCATTCAAAAAACGGCGTCAAACAAAAAAAATTGATAGAGAAAGCACCTTAATAGACGCGCGCATACTTGGTAAGGAACATCGAGTTGCAACAACAACGTTGAGAAGCAAAGACAAACATAGATAAACAAGTATCAAACTCTCGTTGCATGAATTATCACACTCCGCCTCGTTTACATTTGTTTGTCGATGCTGCACTGTTTGCAGCCGTGCTTGCCTTGCGTTCGTTCATCACACGTTGTCGACGTTGTGAAACTTTTAATTCATCTTCGAATAAACGTCGTTACAGAACTTCTGATGGTACACGAGGATAAATGAAATTAGTATTGATTATTCATCGATTAAAACTTCGCTCGATGGAATTAATGAATTATCGAATTATTAAGGGAAATTAATGTAGCCAAGTGTGAATTGTTCGATAATTATATTATCAGATAATCGAATCGTTAGAATTTCTTTCAAGGACCAGAAGATTCGATATTGAATGTGATTTTTATTATTCAAATTTTATACAGATTTTCTAAACTCATTTATTGATTAAATTTATTAGAATCATTATTAGAAGAAAATATATCTGAAAATATTAAGAGAAGATAATGAAATAAAGTGTACAAATTTTAAAAAAAGTGATGCAATAGTAAAAGTTGTAAATATCAATATTTGCTCATAATTTCATTTGAATTTTTTATTGATTAAAATATTAATCAAAGGAAATGGAAAAGAAAGAAATAATTATAAAAAAAAAGATATAACAACAACAATGAGTATCTATAATTTTTTAAACATCCTCTCAAACTGGCCAAAACATCTTAATAGGAAATTCCACAATTGATGTATAATCAATCTCGATTAAATTTACAAACGGCAAATGACAAACGTGGAGCTCAAGTAAACTTTCATTTCAATTGAAACGTGTAAGCGTTGTAAATAATTCATTGAACGTGAGAGCTCCTATACTCACGTCGATGGCTAAGTTCCCATGTCTGATTGATACGGTTTGCTACTGCTATTTCTGGTCTCTATTTCCTATCTGCACACTGTCAATCATTCGCTGTTACGATCGGCAAGTTTAATACATGTATACATAGAATACGAGAGAGCGGAGTACCTACACAGTAACATTGTACGTGTCAACCGTAAGAGGCTTCTATGGCTCGAGTTCCATTATGACTTTCCTTCGAATTTCCTGTAATGTATGCTAAATCTTTCATTTCAATTACCTATAATCGCTCATGAGTTCTGATAGAAAAGCGGAAATTCAACTATAATTTATCAATAAATATTTGTAACAGATATATATATGCATATATGTCAGCGTTTATAATATTTTTGTAACTCCTCAATCATAAGTCATTTCACTTATGATACTAGAAAAAAATTCGCAAAATTGCACAAATTAAGTACAAGATACAATCTGTTCAACGAATGAAGGGAGAAAAAAATTTATCCCTAAATTTCAACAATTTTAGTATCGCGAAAACATATCCATCTCCATCCGAAAATTCACATTTCCACAGACTGGAGTTAGGAAGTCTTAGACATAGAGCATTGTCGGTCGCATCAATAACATCGACGACGAATTCCACGGCGAATCCATTCGGATGTATCAGCGCAGATATAACGTCACCGACGTATGCCTAATTTATTCGTCCGCCCGAGAGGCCATAGGTATGCATCGAATTCTACGGATTCTTTGGGAAATTGCTTGCCGGCTGGAGCGGTACGCACCGACGAGCTTCCACGTCCGCATAGAAATGACCGGTAGAATGGACCTTTGAACCCTTTTCTCCATCGAAATACGAAAAATTCTTATCTCAAATAATATTCATCACCCCTCGGCGGTGGAGGAGGAGGGCCGAGTTCGAGTAAAACGTTTGGAATTTCGAATGGCGCATTATCGAGCGCGAAAAATCGAAGGTCGTCGAATCTATTGGCCGAGAAAGAAAGAGAAAAAGGAAAGAAAGAAAGAGAAAAAAGAAAGAAAAAAGAAAAAAAGTTACCTTCCTCCTCCAATCTCCTCCCGTTCTCCTTCTTTATTTGTCTTTCTCTTCACTTCGCTCCCCTCCGCGTTGCCTGGTAATGCCTAGTTACTTTCCTCGATCTTCCCTCTCGGCCCTCACTTCCTTTCCCTCTCGCTGGAATGGAATGGATATGTTTTCTTGGACCAAACTCTCTTTTATTCCAACCCCCACCCTCCCTCGTCCACCAGTTATTATTATGCCTCCGCTGACCCGTACAAACAATGACGTCGTAGAAAAAGTATCCGTTCCACCCCTATATACGGTAAACAGGATGAAAAATATCTGATTCTCTCTTCTCTGGATTTCCTTTTTTTTCCCTCCCTCCCTCTCTCTCTCTCTCTCTCTCTCTCTTGCCACGACGTTCTTTCGTTAAGCTGATTGAACCCAGACAGGAAAATTTCAAATTGGACTTCCTCCTAGTTCGTTATACGGTCGAAAGGATCAATCGTAGTGACTAGCTATCCGCCGGTTTTGGAAAGGATTCCACGGAAAGTAATCAAAAGTTTGGGATTAGCCGGGAAATCGGGCACGGATTTTCGACACGCGAACGTTCCTTGCCGATATATATACTGACTGCGCCTATGTATATAAGGTGGAAAAATAATTGTTTCTATGATGGGAAAAAATGTCGTATGCGTTTTATTCAACGCGATAGAACTTTGTCTATGCGAATCTGTTGGGGGTAAATATTGGGGAAGGGGTTCAATACAGTAAAATCTTGATCTTAGAGAGAAGTCTCTTCTTATCGAAGATTTGCAGAGAAGAGAAGTTTAATCAAACGGATTCATATTTTTACGATTGTGCAAGTTTGAAAAAAGAGAAAAGAGTATTGAAAAGTATGCGATATAAAAATTATTTTCGGTTCTAAAAACTAAAAAAACATAAAAGTCTGAATTACAATAATTCGTTTTATATAAGAAGATCGATTTAATAAATTTTTAGTATTATTCAATTTGATACAATCTTTTTCAAAAATTGCGAATTATCTTCCCCTTTTCCCATCGTAAACATTTCACGCGCTATGAAACCCCATACCAGATCGCATCTGGTTCGATCGATCCAAAAAGAAAAAAAAAAGAGAAAAAAAGAGAGAGAGAGAGAGAAAATCGCGTAAATTACGCTTTGCCAATTTTAATTCATCCTCTTCGAACCGTCGTAAACATTTCTACACCATCAGATGTCGTGATTACCCCCGATCGAGGCGAAAAAATCGCGTAAATTCCACGTCACCACCGCACGCTCACCCATAACCACCCCGTAAATTACGCCAATATCACGTCCACCCCCATCCTTCTCTTCCCCCTCCCTCCACCCCGCAATATCATTTTCAGAACGATTCTCTCCCGTCCCACCGGTCCA